TTTTTGGGTCGGTTTTGTTGTTTTTTTTTTTTGTTTTTTGTTTTTTTTTCTCGTTTCCTTCCTTTTTTATGTTTTTTTTTCTTTTTTTCCAACTGACATTTAATAAATTATAAAATCGGTGTAAGGGGTGAAATAGAATATATATCAGCCAGATATGTATGAAATACAACATGCATAGGGGGAGGAAAAAAAACAAACAAACAAACGAAAAAAAAACCCAAAAAACCCAAAAAACCTATGGAAACTCACCTGGAACTCACGCACACGGATCTATAAATACATATATACACACACATATACATATAAACACCAACAGTTTTCCTTTTTTTTGTTGTTTTTTTTTTGTTGTTTTGTATTTTTTGTCGTTTTTTTGTCTTTTTTTTTTTTTTTTTTGCCCAAAATTCAGCTATTTAAGTGGCGGAGGAAGGGATGCTGTAAAAACACTTAAAAACCATTTTTTGATGCCACGTTATGGTGTGAAACCTTTTCAAATACGACTGATCAGACAGCAATTACCTAATGCTACTTGGATTAAAGGTTTATAATTTTGCTTTTTTTTGTATTTTTTTTTTTTAATTTTTTCCTTTTTTTTGGTTTTTTTTCTTTTTTTGTTGTTTTTTTTAAAATCAATTTATTATGAATTTTTTGACTTCGTAGGCAAAAAAAAAAAGGTGGCCCTTTGTCGATGCTTGAAGCGACTATTTGCAATTGATAGTTTTTTTTTTATTTTTGGGATGTGAAAAAGAAAAAGAAAAAAGAAAAAAAATCAGACAAGAAATCTGCTAATTTTAGTATTCCTTAACTCTCTTTTTTTTCCTGATAAACTCGTTTACCTGCACTTTCAACCTGTTATAAAAATATTTTTTACACCAGAGGAAATATTTATTTTCTCTCTCTCTCTCTGACTTTGGGACACGAGAGAATCGATTCCTTCCCTCTCCTTTTTTCTCTGAATTTTAAAAGAATTTCCTGAAAAATAAAAGAAAAAAGAAAATAAAAATAAAAATAAAAATTCTGCATTCCAGCTATTTACACATTCCACTCCTTAAGATGGATCAGCCCAAAGAACCCCACCAAAAAAATTAAAAATAACGATTTTCCTATGTCATGCACGACTTAAAAAATAACGAAAAAAAAAAAAACAAACCCCGAGAAAGGAATTAAAATAACGGCTGAAATTCCAAAAAATTCCAAAAAATTCCGAAAGAAAAAGCGAATTTTGAAAGCCGCCAGCCTTAAAAGAGCTGGATAGGGAGGAATAATCCGGGAATTCGGGAATATCGGCGGGGTGAGCTTCACCTGCAAGCACAAACTGCGGCTACGGCACTAAAATCGGCTTTTTCCAGCCAGGCCAAGGTGGTTTGGAGGCAAAAAACACGAGCGGCTCCACGAGGAAACACTGAGGCATGCTCCGGAGTTTTCCGGGAAGAGCGGAGGTTGGCGGAGCGGGATCCGAGTTTGGAGGGATAAAACTTTCCAAGCCAAGCCGTGCTTCCAGCTGGGGCTCCAGAAAAATGGAATATTTTGTGTGACAAGCTGTTCCTCACTGGGATTTGATGTTGATTTGGGCTCCAGAAAAATGGGAATTCTCGTCCCAAAACTCATTCCTCAGCTGGGATTTGGGGTTCCACCCCATAAAAAATGGAATCTTTTGTGCCACAAGCCGTTCCTCACTGGGATCTGATGTTGATTTGGGGCTTCCCTTCACAAAAACGGAACATTTTGTGCCACAAGTCATTCCTCAGCTGGGTTTTGATGTTGATTTGGAGCTCCAGAAAAATGGAACTTCTCATCCCAAAACTCATTCCTCAGATGGCATTTGGGGCTCCACCCCACAAAAATGGAATTTCTTGTCCCACAAGCTGCTCCTAACTGGGATTTGATGTTGATTTGGAGCTCCAGAAATATGGAACTTCTTGTCCCTCAAGTCATTCCTCAGCTGGGATTTGGGGCTTCACCCCACAAAAAATGGAAATTCTCATCCCAAAACTCATTCCTCACTGGGATTTGATGTTGATTTGGGGCTTCCCTTCACAAAAACGGAACATTTTGTGCCACAAGTCGTTCCTCAGCCGGTATCTGATGTTGATTTGGACTCCAGAAAAATGGGAATTCTCGTCCCAAAACTCATTCCTCAGCTGGGATCTGATGTTGATTTGGGGCTCCACAAAAATGGAATTTCTTGTCCCAAAGAACCATTCCTGACTGGGATTTGATGTTGATTTGGGGCTTCCCTTCACAAAAACAGAACGTTTTGTGCCACAAGTCATTCCTCAGCTGGGATTTGGGGCTCCACCCCATAAAAAATGGAAATTCTTGTCCCAAAACTCATTCCTCACTGGGATTTGATGTTGATTTGGGGCTCCAGAAAAATGGAACATCTCATCCCAAAACTCATTCCTCACTGGGATTTGATGTTGATTTGGGGCTCCACAAAAATGGAAATTCTTGTTCCAAAACTCATTCCTCAGCTGGGGTTTGGGGCTCCACCCCACAAAAATGGCATTTTTGTCCAACAAGCCGTTCCTCACTGGGATCTGATGTTGATTTGGGGCTCCACAAAAATGGAAATTCGTGTCCCAAAGCTCATTCCTCAGCTGGGATCTGATGGATTTGGGCCCTCAGGAATGACGGAATCCCAGCAGTGTGGAATATTCTGAGTTGGGAGGGACACACGAGGATCAAAGTCCTTGCAAAAAGCATCTCAAAATCCCAGCCTGGGCATCCCTGGGAGCGTTGTCCAAACATTCCTGGAGCTCCGGCAGCCTTGGGAATGCCGGAATTCCCCGGGAAGCCTGGGCAGGGCCCCACAGCCTCCGGAGGAAGAATTTTCCCTAAAATCCAACCTAAACCTCCCGCTGAGCTTCGTGCGTCATTCCCTGGATGAATCTGCAGCATTCCTGACTGAAGCATGGAATTCAAAAGGAGAATTTGCCTGGATAGAGTGGCACACGGAACCAGAAATGCCAAAAAAAAAATAAAATAAAATCAATTCCCAAAAATCCAACCCCACTCCTGAAAGGCTCTGGGCTGCAGACGGAGCAGGGGCTGCTCCGCTGCCAGAATTAAGAAAATCTGCGTGAAATATGGGATTTGGGGGGGATTGGATTCCAGCAGCAGAGGGCAATGTCTCTGAGAGGAGATTTAAAAAAAAACCCCTCTCCCCAAGCTTGAACTTTCCAAGTTCAGCTCCTCTCCCGTTTCTTTAACTGAAAATAATGCCATCGGTGTCCGAAGTGAAGGGGGAAAAAAAATAAAGGAAAGGAAAGAAACTCACGTGACAAATGCACAGGTGTAAAATCTTCAGCATCCATAAAAATGAACTGAAGCTCCTTGTTTTTCTTACATTTTTTTTTTTTTTCTCTTTTGTCTTTTTTTTTTTTTCTTATTTTTACCAGCGAGGCCATCTTAGGTTTATATACAAAAGTAAAACTGAAAATAGACTTTTTTTTTTCTCCGTCGTTCTCTGTACACGTAAATTATTTTTTTTCCCCTTTTTAAAAAAAAAAAAAAAGGAAAAAAAAACCAACCAAAAAACAAAACCAAAAACCACCTTATCTTAATTTTTTTTTTCTTTTTTTTCTTTTCTCTGAACAGAAAGGAAAACCGGAGCACGAAGATTTCCTCTGTCCCTAAAACCCTCCCCAACCCCCAAAAAAAAAATAAAAATAAAAATAAAAATAAGGATCAGTCCAAGGAGATAATATCTGGTATGATACCGAAGATGGAGGCCGTGTCCGTGGCGCTCCTGCCGGCCACGGCGTGGCCGTGGTTCTCCCGGAGGCTGTTGGAGGACACCAGGCTGCTGTTGCTGCCGCTGCTGCTGCCGTTGGTGGCCGGCAGGGAGCCGCTTCCCCCCGCGTTCAGCTGATCCAGGAACATTTGGGATGAGGTGTAGGGAAAAAAGCGGGAGTGTAAAAGTTCCTGGTCGTCGGAGGCAGAGACGGCGGCGGCGGCGGCGGCGAGGAGGGAGGTGTTGTAATGCTGGCGGGGAAGAACGGCCGGGAATTCAGGGTTGGAGGAGATGGAAATGAAGGGGGTTTTGTTGAGGTGGAGGTTTTCAGGGGGGGAGTTCTGGGTTTTATGGGAGGGGAAATGGGGTTTTAGGTTTTGGGTTTGAAGATGGGAGGAATTGGGAACGCTGGGGCTAGAAATAGAAGGGTGGGAATGGGGTCAGAGTCCCAGATCAGGAGAAGGCAAATAGGAATGGGATCAGAGAAATCAAACCAGAAAAAGGGCAAATAGGAATGGGATCAGAGCCCAGACCAGGGAAAGGACAAGCAGGAACGGAATCAGAGAAATCAAATCAGGAAAAGGCAAATAGGAATGGGATCAGAGGGCCCAAACCAGGAAAAGGGCAAGCAGGAATGGGATCAGAGCGCCCAGACCAGGGAAAGGACAAGCAGGAATGGGATCAGAGAGCCCCAAACCAGGAAAAGGGGGAAAAATTGCCCCAAATCCATGTTGCCACCCCCAGAGATGAGGGTGAGTCCGAGCTGGCAGGTGGGACTGTGCTGATCCCTGCAGAATCCTGGGAAAACGCATTTAGGGCCGGAGCAATCCCAAATCCATTTCAGCAGCACCTCCCTGGGGAGGAACTTTGCTCTCAGCCTTTCCTCCCAGCAGGACCGAACATCCAGGCTGTCCCAGGCCTGGACCCAAATTCCACAGGGCGGGCTCTGCTCTCCATGGAGACATCAAAGCATCCCTCGACTTTCCGTGCAATTTTGGTGCCATTTTGGTACCATTTTGGTGCAATTTTTGTGCAATTTTGGTGCCATTTTGGTGCAATTTTGGTGCAAATTCCCACTTTGGGAAAGCAGAAAGGCCAGGGAGACATCCCAGCTCCACTTTTTTTTGAGGAAAAGGGATCAAACTGCACCGAGTTTAATCCCTGGCTCCCCAAAAAGTTTCTTTTTGCTGCGCCTGATCCCACTCTCGCGTTCAAATCCCAAATCCCACTCGGAAAAGCGTTTCCCACAGGATTTCATTCTCCCTGACTTACCTGATTGTCACCTGACAGGAAAGGGAAGAAATCCAAACCTGCTGAGAGACAAAAAAAACCCAAAAATTCAGCTTTTCCAAACAGAAGAGAATTTCTGTTTCTCCGTTTTTTTTTCCACTTCTTTCAAAACAAAACCAACCAAACGCTGCTGAAACTTCCAATTCTGTTCAGCAGCGATTTTAAGCTCATTCTCTTTAATTTTTTAAATTATTTTTCGTGCTGGGGGAGCTGTTCAGAACTCACCCTGCAGGTCGTAAGGCATGGGTGTCATGTGGAATGGGTGCCTGTAGTCCTGGATCAGCGAGGAGTTGATGTAGCTGGTGTCCACGGCGGGAAGGCTCGGGGTTCTCGACACGGGAGAAGCTTGGTGGGGTAAATTTAAAATGCTGGGAAAAGGGGGAGGGAGAAAAAAAAAAACCAAACTCGTTAGATATGTATAAAAATTAATAAAATATTTTACACAATTCATATTAATAAAATATGTAAAATATGTAAAATACGTAAAATACGTAAAATGCGTAAAATGCGTAAAATACGTGAAGTACGTAAAATACGCCAAGTACGTAAAACACGTCAAGTACGTGAAATACGCAAAATACGTACAATACGCAAAATACGTAAAATCCACAAAATATGTAAAATATGCAAAATACATAAAATGCGTAAAATCCACAAAATCCATGGATTTTATTTTATTTTATTTATTTATTGTATTTATTTGTTTTATTGCTGTCCCATCGGGGGATGCTTCTTTGTAAATGGAATTTCAGCTCAAAATCCCGAAATTCTTGGGGGAATCCCCGGGGTTTCTCCTCATGATATTCCAGCAGGAAAGGCAGCCCCAGAGAGCCGGGATTTAGGGATTTAGGGAATTCCCGGGAGCTGCCAGGAAATAGGGATGTGGGACAGCTCTTGCCAACAGGGATGAGATAATCCTGAAGGAATAATGAACCCAAAATCCCATGGGAATTGGGTGATCCTACAGGATCTGGGTGACACCACAGGGATCAGTCTGGGATTTGGGGAACCTCCCGGAGCAGCGTCAGTCTGGGATTTGGGATTTGGGGAACCTCCCAGAACCGGCTCAGTCTGGGATTTGGGATTTAGGGAACTGCCCAGAGTCAGTTCTGTCTGGGATTTGGGATTTAGGGAATCTCCCAGAGCCGGCCCAGTCTGGAATCTGGGATTTGGGATTTAGGGAGAGCTGGCTGTGTCTGGGATTTGGGATTTAGGGAACCTCCCAGAGCTGGCTTTGTCTGGGATTTGGGATTTAGGGAGAGCCGGCCCAGTCTGGAATTTGGGATTTAGAGAGAACTGGCTCAGTCTGGAATTTGGGATTTATGGGGAGCCGGCTCAGTCTGGGATTTGGGATTTAGGGAACCTGCTGGAGCCAGGTCTCAGTCTGGAATTTGGGATTTGGGATTTAGGGAGAGCTGGCTCAGTCTGGGATTTGGGATTTGGGATTTAGGGAGAGCTGGCTCAGTCTGGGATTTGGGATTTGGGATTTAGGGAGAGCCGGCTCAGTCTGGGATTTGGGATTTAGGGAACCTGCTGGAGGTGGCTCAGTCTGGGGTTTGGGATTTGGGATTTAGGATTTGGGATTTGGGCTCCGCTCTCACCCCTTGCTGTTGATGGGAGACGCCGGGGATATGGAGGGACAGCTCCTCTTGGCCGAGGGCTCCTCCTCCTCCTCGTCCGAGGAGCTGTCGATGGTCAGGTCGATCACCTCCACCTTCTTGTTCCGGTGGGACTGCTGCTGCGACGACACCTGGTGCTCCAGCGAGGAGCCGAGGCACCCTGCACACACCAACAGCCCTCAGAGCCCGGGAAATCACCCCATTCCCACGGAAAACAAACCGCGGGAATTCGGCGGGAATTGGAGCGTTACGCAATGGAAGAACTCGGGATGGAGGGAAGGGATAAAGGGGATGGAAATGAGCGTTTGGGATTGGCTCAGAGCCTGGAAAATCCCATTCCCAGGTAAAACAAAACCCTTGGAATGCCGGGAAGGGATAAAAAGGGATGGAAATGAGCGTTTGGGATTGGCTCAGAGCCTGGAAAAATCCCATTCCCAGGTAAAACAAAACCTCGGGATGTCAGGAATTTGAACGTTGAGCTCAGGATGGATGGAAGGGATAAAGGAAATGGAAATGAGCGTTTGGGATTCGCCCAGAGTCCAGAAAATCCCATTCCCAGGTAAAAAACAACCTTGGGATGTCGGGAATTTCAGCATTACACAACGAAGAGGTTGGGATGGTGGGAAGGGATAAAGGAGATGGAAATGAGCGTTTGGGATTGGCTCAGAGCCTGGAAAATCCCATTCCCAGGTAAAACAAAACCCTTGGAATGTCGGGAAGGGATAAAAAGGGATGGAAATGAGCGTTTGGGATTGGCTCAGTGCCTGGAAAAATCCCATTCCCAGGTAAAACAAAACCTCGGGATGTCAGGAATTTGAACGTTGAGCTCAGGATGGATGGAAGGGATAAAGGAAATGGAAATGAGCGTTTGGGATTCGCCCAGAGTCCAGAAAATCCCATTCCCAGGTAAAAAAAAATCCTTGGAATGTCGGGAATTTGAACATTAAACAATTAACATGGTTGGGATGGAGGGAAGGGATAAAGGACATGGAAGTGAGCGTTTGGGATTGGTTCAGAGCCTGGGCAAATCCCATTCCCAGGTAAAAAACAACTTTGGGATGTCGGGAATTTCAGCATTACACAATGAAGAGGTTGGGATGGTGGGAAGGGATAAAGGAAATGGAAATGAGCGTTTTGGGATTGGTTCAGAGCTTGGAAAATCCCAATCCCAGGTAAAACAAAACCCTTGGAATGTCGGGAATTTGACTGTTACACAAAGAACGAGGTTGGGATGGAGGGAAGGGATACAGGGGGATGGAAATGAGCGTTTGGGATTGGTTCAGAGCCTGGGCAAATCCCATTCCCAGGTAAAAAACAACTTTGGGATGTCGGGAATTTCAGCATTACACAATGAAGAGGTTGGGATGGTGGGAAGGGATAAAGGAGATGGAAATGAGCGTTTGGGGAGGTGAAGGAACCGCCGCTCACCGTCAACGCCGTTGTAGGACGCCGTCACTTCCTGCACTTCCTTCTTGCTCCTCATGGGAGCCCAGGATCCGTCCTCCTTGAACTGGATCTCGTCACAATCCGTGCAGAATTTCAGGATCTCCATGAACAACCTGCCCAGAAGAAGGGTTTCAAAAAAAAGAGATTTTTTTTAAAAATATTTTTATATTTATATATTTATATTTATATTTTATATTTATTTCTATATTATTTTTATTTATATTTTTATATAAAAATATATTTATTTATATGTTTATGTATTGATATATTGATACATTGATATATTTATATATTTATACATTTATATATTGATATATTTATATATTTATACATTTATATATTGATATATTGATATACTGATATATTTATACATTTATATATTTATATATTGATATATTTATACATTTATATATTTATACATTTATATATTTATATATTGATATATTGATATATTTATACATTTATATATTTATATATTGATATATTTATACATTTATGTATTTATACATTTATATATTTATATATTTATATATTGATATCTTGATATATTGATAAATTTATATATTTATATTTATATTTAATTTATGTATATCGGAGTAAATTGGAATTTGTGGCGAGGTTTTTGTTGTTCTGCTCTTTTCTCTCTTGTCTTTGATAAGGAATTCGCTGAAAAAAAAATTCGAGTGTTCCCTGCAATAAAAATCTGAGGAAACAGAATAAAAATCGGCATAAATAAAATAAAATAATGCAAAAAAATAAAATAAAAATCTGCAAAAATGAAATCAAAATCTACAAGAAATTAAATAAAAATCTGCAAAGTTGGAAGTTTTGATTTAAAAGCCCTGAGAGTGGAATCCTGCAGAGCTCAGAAATCTCCACATATATAATACATTATATATAAAATATAAAAAATATATATTATATATATCACACATAATATACAGCCTATATTATATATTATATATAATTATATACAATTATTATAATTATATAATAAATTAGAACTATTATTTAAATATGAGAACATTCTCAGAAACCTCCACTTGCTCTCTCCTTTTATCACCCTTTGAAAAACAAAACAGAATATTCCTCTCTTAAAGAAATTAAAATGGAAACCCAAAAATAAAATAAAATGTAAGAGAAAAACGAAGATAAATTTTTAAAAAATTTAAAAATCAAAAAATAAAATAGAGTAGAATAGAATAGTATAGAATTGAATAGAATAAAATAGAATAGAATCATAAAATAGAATAATAAAATAAAATAGACTAATAGAGTAAAACAGAATAAAATAGAATAGAATAATAAAGTAGAATAGAATAGAATAGAATAATAAAATAGAATATAATAGAATAGAATAAAATAGAATAATAGAACAGAATAGAATAATAAAATAGAATAGAATCATAGACTAGAATAGAATAGAATAGAATAGAATGAAATAGAATAGAATAGAATTAAATAGAATTAAATAGAATAGAATAGTAGAATAGAATAGAAAAATAGAATAGAATTCAATAGTATAGAATTAAATAGAATATAATGGAATATAATGGAATAGAATTAAATAGAATTTAATAGAACAGAATAATAGAATAGAACAGAATAGAATAGAATAAAATAGAATAATAGAATAGAATAATAGAATGAAATAGAATAGAATAATACAATAAAATAGAATAGAATAATAGAATAAAATAGAATAGAATAGAATAAAATAGAATAATAGAATTGAATTAAATAGAATAGAACAGAATAGACTAGAATAAAATAGAATTGAGTAGAATAATAGAATAAAATAGAATAGAATAGAATAAAATAGAATAGAATTGAATTAAATAGAATAATAAAATAGAATAGAACAGAATAGAATAAAATAGAATTGAGTAGAATAATAGAATAAAATAGAATAGAATAGAATAAAATAGAATAGAATTGAATTAAATCGAATAGAATATAACTGAATTAAATAGAATAGAATAGAATTGAATTAAATAGAATAGAACAGAATAGAATAAAATAGAATTGAATTAAATAGAATAGAATTGAATTAAATAGAATAGAATAATAAAATAGAACAGAATAGAATAAAATAGAGTAGAATAATAGAATAAAACAGAATATAATAATAGAATAAAACAATAGAATAGAACAACAGAATAGAATAGAAGAAAAGAATAGAATAGATTAAAACAAAAGAAAAGCAAAGCAGGAGGAGCCCAAGGCAAGGAGGGCCAGGCCCAGGGCAGGTTCTGGTGGCCCTGTGCTCACCCATCGATGATGAGGTGCTCGTAGGGAGCTTTCTTGTCACACACGGGGCACACCCAGGTGGGTTTCTTCTCGTTCATCTGGATGTAGAGCGTGGCATCGAAGCACTGCAGGTGCGAGCACGTCAGCGCCCGGCACGGGATGGTCAGACGCATCTTGCCCAGCTGGGAAAGTTAAAAAAAAAAAAATCAGGATTTTATGGTTTTGGGGTTAAATTCACCACCAGGGGTTTTTTTCTGGCAAGAGTTAGGTTGGGTTTTCTGTGGAAAGAATTGGGAGAAATCTGAAGTTTGGGTTCCTGTAGGTTTGAAATGGTGTGAAAGTGAATAAAAATCTCTTTTTTTTTGAGTTCTGTTTGATGGAGGAAGCTGAAGAATTGGTTCCTGTACCAAAACCGGAACTAAAAATGGAATTATTCTTCGTTCTGGTCCAAGTGCCATGGCAGGGAAAGGAGAGCAGGCAGGGAAAGGAACGGGATCTCAATCCAAAATTAAAACCGCGGCACCAAAGGCAGGAACTGGCCACAGAGGGTGGGGAAAATCCCAAAACCAGGAATTTCACCCCAGGAAAAGGCAAGGGAAGAATCATTCCTGGGGAATGGAGGAGTCCAAAATGTTTGTTTGGGTAAATATTTGGATTTTCTGAGCGCCCCTGGCTGATGGCAGCGGTGGGAGAGGAGATTTTGGGAATCAGGAATTTTGGGAATCAGGAATTTTGGGAATCCAGTGGGATCCAGCCCCGTGGCCTGAGCAGTGCCAGGAGGAGGCCACAGGATGGCACCAAAATTATCCCAAAGCCACAACAAAGGCTCTGCTCAGAGCCAGCACCTCCTCCGGGGTGAGCAGCAGGAAGATTTCATTCCCTCTGAGCTGAAATCCCCCCAAAAATCACTTTTTCCTTATATATAATACATATATATATATATGTATTTATATTTATTTTATACATATGTATGTGTGTTTATATTTATTTTATATATATATATATTTATTTATATTTATTTATAGATACGTATTTATATTTATTTCTATATAAATATGTATTTCTATTTATTTATATACAGATATGTATTTCTATTTATTTTTATTTATTTTTATATATGTATTTCTATTTATTTTTTATAGATATATGCATTCATATTAATTTATTTATATATTTATATTTATTTATATATATTTATATATATGTATATATGTATTTATATATATGTATATCTAAAATATATAAATATCAAAAAGCATATAAACATATTTCTATAAAAATATATAATATATAATACATAATGATGTACAACATATAAATATATATTTAAATATGTATTTGATATAAAAATAAATTTTATTTTAATGTATTTGAATTAAATTAATAAATAGGTAATAAAATAAATAATAAATAAATAATATAAAATAAAAATAATATAAAATAATATTAAATAGTATAAAAATATATTAAAATAATATTAAAAAATATACAAAATAATATAAAAATAACTAAAAATATTATAAATACTATAAAGTAATATAAAATTAATATAAAAAATAAAATAAAAATAAATAAAATCTAAAAACAAATACAAATATATTTATTATAAATAATTGATTTAATTATTATTATTATTATTAATGAACTTACTGGACAAAGAAGAGACACTCTCAAGCTGGTTGTGGCAATTTCGCTGTCTGGATCAGCAGTTAGTTTCTCTTTAACTGGGATTTGAAAGAAGAAAAAAGTTCATTTTAGGTTAATTCCAATGTGAATTGGATGAGAAAAGAAATAAAATCCAGTCAGAAATGGTTTGGAAAACATTGAATTCGAGACCCCTAAAAAATGTGTTTATCTTAATTCCTTTACATGCAATTTTCATTCCTGCACCTTCATCCTCACCCTGGCAGGGGCAGCAAAAATGAAGATTTTTGTGCACTTAAATCATCAAAACTGCACCAGCACAAAATGATTTTTTTTTACTGCTGGACTCATTTCTTAGAAATGGATCAAAAAATGGATCAAAACAAACCTGGGATTTTCCTGCTCTCCCCAAATTCCAAACCCACAGCTGGTTTTGGTGGTGTTTTTATGCCACAAACGGATTCCACCAACTCATCAGAGGAAACAAATTCCCAGAGGAGCTCAGAGCTCTGTGCCTGGGACAGAAAAGGCTCCTGGAGCTGCTCCTGCCCAGATCCAGGGGGAGATTCCAGAGAATCTCTGGATGCTGGACTCATTTCTTTAATGGATCAGGTGCTGGGATTTTCCTGCTCTCCCCAAAATCCAAACCCACAGCTGGTTTTGGTGGAGTTTTTATGCCACAAACTTCCACCAACTCATCAGAGGAGCTCACAGCTCTGTGCCAGGGACAGAAAAGGCTCCTGGAGCTGCTCCTGCCCAGATCCAGGGGGAGATTCCAGTGCCCAGTTCCCACCTGGCTGGGAGCAGGTGTCATCTTCCATGGATCAGGTGCTGGGATCTTCTCCCTCTCCCCAAATTCCAAACCCACAGCTGGTTTTGTTGGTGTTTTTATACCACAAACTTCCACCAGCTCATCAGAGGAGCTCACAGCTCTGTGCCAGGGACAGGAAAGGAGCTGGAGCTGCTCCTGCCCAGATCCAGGGGGAGATTCCACCAATTCCCACCTGGCTGCAGAGCCACAGCTGGGCCATCCAAACAAAGCCAGGATGGCTGAGCTGGGAGGATTTCCCTTGAATTTTTCCCTCCCAGATCCAGAGTTCCTGGAGCAAACAAAGATCTCCGAGCCCTTGAATTGGAGCTGAACACAAAGAACTCCCCTATGGGATTCCCAGAGGGCTGTAGGAAGTGCAAAGCTTGGTTAGCACAGTCCCAAATCTTCATTTCCCTTCCCCAAAAGTGATTTTTTCCCTTTCTGGAAAGCCCAGCAGACACTCACTGAGAGCTCTGGAGTGATCCGGGTTCCGGATTCCCTTGGCCCGCAACCGCTGCAGGAGCACCGTGGAGGAGAGCTGCTTCACCAGGTACACTGCCATGGAATAGTTCTGGGAAACAACACCAAAAACACCCAAAAAAGTCAGAAAAACCACCAAAATCATCACAGAAAACACCAAAACCATGAGAGAAACCCTGTCTGCAGCACAGAACAGCTATGGGATTGCAGGGTAGGATGGAGAGCTGCTTCACCAGGTACACTGCCATGGAATAGTTCTGGGAAACAACACCAAAACCACCCAAAAAAGTCAGAAAAACCACCAAA